GGGTGAACGTAGTCCTGAATAGGACTATTGTTGTTGACAGTGACTTACGTTTCGACAACCTGTGCGGTAGTCATCTTCAGAATCCAAGTGAGCTGTATCACGTCTTATGGTGCTGCGCTGGCGCGCTTCGCGCGCGAGAGCTCTGCTGTCAAATTTTTGATCAGGTCTGAAATAGGGTAGGGAAAATCAAAAATTTTGGTCTGAAATAGTATCCTATTTACACCAATCTTGCCCACGCTCCTAAGATAAGTGATGGAGAAATCTGGAGGCCTCTTCCGGAGTCAGGTAACAAATATTGCCGTAAAACAATGTCTGCTCTGGAGCCACAAAACACAGTGCAAACGTAACAGTACCAGGGCGTGAAAATTTTAGCGAAATTAAGCCCCTGGTTCTAGTACACGCTTGACAGAGTCAGGTAACAAAAATTGGCCGTAAAACAACTTCTGCTCTGGAGACACAAAACACATCTATTTGTAACAAAACTGTGGGTTTTGCCAAAAACAACAACGAAAATATAAGCCAAACAATACTTGTAACTCATGAAAATGCAGCAACTTATAATAACACGTACCTTAAAAAACCCGACGGGAATAGCAGCATGCAAGTAAAGCAAATTCATGCGCTGACTCCGCATGAATAAAACTAGGAAGCACGAAGACTAAACAGCGTAGACCAAAATAGGCATATGAAACGAAAAAACTGAAAACCCCGCATGCGGAAATAAGAAACCGGACATACTGCGAGAACTGAACATTACAACAGACTGCTGTCCCGCTAGAGACGTTCAATAAGATTGGAGAAAAAACCGAAGTCAGTGAAAGTACCTCTCACGGGATCCATCAAAAGGAGAAATGCTGAAACTAGGGAATTACAACCTGAAAGATAAGTGGTACTGTGAGGACAATATAGGAAAAGATGCGCCTCGAGAGATAGCAGTCTTACCTGCCGGTAATCCGACAGGGAATTAGACTCCCTTGTAAGACTGAAATCCCGGGAGCGGCTGCAGAAAAATAATATACTGAAGGAAAGAATTGAAAACAAATACAACCAAAGCAATGATTATGGCTAAGAAAATACTGCAAACAAATGGGGAAAAGTACAGAAAATAATGACCTTGAAAATATATGTGACCAGACCGAATGTCGAACCAGCTGTCGAACACGTGGCAACCTCAGGCCCGTAACCAGGATTTTATGTGGGGGGGGGGGGGGGGGGCAAAGGGGCCAAAAGGGAAAAAAACACCCAAAAAATTTTTTTTTTTGGGCTTTGTTTTAAAACATTTTCGAATTTTTAAAAAAAAAACAAACGGCTTTTTAAAAAAAATTAAAATAACAACCAAGAATAAAAGAAAAAAAAAGAAAGAAAAAAAAAAAAAAGAGTGAGAAAAAAGAAAAAAAAAGCTAAAAAAAAAAAGGTGGTTTGGTAGGTGGGGTATTTTTGTTTTTGGTTTTATTGTAGGGGGGGGGGGGGGGGGGGGTGAGAAAAGGCACGTTTAACGCTAAATAAATATTGCTTCCGCTAACTATTGTGTGCTTTCTCTTTTCGTTAAATTCCGGGATTCTGTTTCGTAAGGTAAAACAATGAGAATAATTTCCGATTACGTATCTTGAACCACTCCGCGTGCGACCAAGGGTAAGATTTTCACTTACACCTTCTGCCGTTTAGCAAGCTGGGGCCGCCATCATAGAGGAGGGAGAAAAAAGACGGAGCTGAGGTTGTTGTGCATATTCTTGTTGGATTTGTGACCTGCATTTATGCTGCGAGTGAAGTCACGGGACCATCGTGTTCGTTTCAGGACCAGTGAAGTCAACATAAAATATTGGGATATTTACAATTTTTGTCTATAGCTATAGTACGCTACAATATTCCCAATTGGGTCTAGCAGAGAGCTCTTCAAAGGTGTGCAGCGTTTCTGGATGCAATATACAATTCTTGGTAAAAAATGCAAAGAGCTCGACAGAATTTAAATTGACTGGTTAAAAGTAATTGGCGCCAGGGGCAACTTTAAGATAGTAATCATAGGGTTATTAGGACCAATTATAAAAGGCTTTATTACTTTTCTAACATAAGGTTGACAAAAGAATACAATGTATATGGTTATAAAGCAAAGAAATTAACACTAGCTCTTGATTATTATCCTATCAGTACGTTCCGTATCTTTGTACTAAGCCTTCCCTTCCGTGACCAGCTTCATCTTTTTCAAGGCCCCTATTTTTTCAGATCTAGAAAAGAAAAAAAAAAGATTTATTTAGAAGACCGTAGACGTTTCAGATTTAAGGTTGGTGTTAAAGACTTAATTTGGTTGCCTTGAGCTCTTTAAGCCCTAAGAGTGATCAGCATCAAATTTCTCCTTGTAATATCATTATTTTTTAGGCTTTGTAAAACAGAGTAGTCATGAGAATTATAGACATGATCACACAAGATGAATTTGTTTGATATTTTATCAACATCTCCCCACTACTTCTACAGGAAATGAATAGGGGCAACAAACGAGAATTGAAATTTTGATCTTAGAGTTTAAAGGCTCAATTTCTTAATTAGAATGTATAATTCTCCTCGCTCCTCGCCGCCGGGACGTATCTCAAGGAGAAACGTCTGCGACTTAGCGTCAGAAATTCTATACTGATGACGTAAAATCTGTTCGGAATCCGGTCATGAACGCCGATTGGACGACGGAGTAGTTACATTGTTTTAGCTTCTGTTTACGACTGACAGACAAAAGAAAAAAGGCTACAAAGGTCAAATGTAAATGCCATGAATCTATAACAAACAATCATATTTGTGGAATATATTAGCTGGAGCTTGTTCGCGGACGAACACGACAGTTTACCAAAATCGACCAGGTGAAACGAAAAATTGATCAAATTTACATTTGAAAAGTTTGACCGGATTGATTATGTAATATGATTTACGTCATTAGTATATGGAATTTTTGTCGCTGAGTCGCAGACATTTCTCCTCGCGAAACGTTCCCAGCGGCGAGGATTGTAGACTGTTTCTGTAAGATAGTCGAGATCGAGCGCTATGTGTTACGGGCTGCCATCTTGAATGAGTGTCAAAACTACTTAGGGGCGGGGGCGGTTTGGGTTGAAGCGAGAAAGATAGAGGGACTGTAATAACATCACGGCAGCTCGCCTTCAGGAGGCGTGACAGGAATTTCATGCCTTTTATCATTCATTAATTAAGAAACTCCGCTGGTGATGAAAAAAATGCCAGACACATTTAGCATCGATTACGCGTGTTTACAAATATCTCCTTTCGAAACAGTGATTTTATAATGTTTCTGGGCCATTCCTCGAAATAAAATCGGCAAACATGCACAAGAAAACATTTTCCTAATCAAAATACCAAAAATCCTTCGTGCGTTCGCGCAAGATGTGCCTTATGGTATGAAAGCGTAGGTTTTATAGAAAAGTCGACTTGTCAACGACTTGTCAATGTCGGCAACTTGGACTAAACCCGTTGTCAACGCAAATTAACATCTATTGTCTAATGACCAATCAAATGCCTGCGTTGCTGGTACAACGAGCTGAGTGAGCTGCATTGATGTTACTACAGTCCCTCTATTTTTCTCTCCCCCCCCCCCCTCCCCACAGCTATAATCCCCGACGATCGCCCCCTCGGTACATTTGAAAATCAAGATAGCCGTGACGGTAAGACGCGGTATATCTAAACGATCTGACGAAAACATAGGGGACTGTGAACAGTCTACGAGGATTGAGAAGAAACGGCTCTTTTCGCAGGCTAATTTTTGGCAAGTAGGCGTCTTGGACGTTGTTCTTTCGGGATATCTTGACAAATCCTAAAATTTCACAAATTTAATTTTTTATGACGTCACACCTTAGTAGTCTACCGCATCACGCGAGGATATTGCTGTTTTTGGTCCATGATCCTGCGTTTTAGTTGTTAGAGTTGAATATGAAGAAGATATTTAGCAAATTTCATCACGGAGTACTAAACATAATTTTTTTGCCTTAAAAAAAAATGGTGATTTTTGCAGAGTGAAGCATTAAAACTTGAAAACTTTGACCCACTTTTTTCCAGTTTTAATCCATTTCCATCCTTACCGTCCGTTATTGTTGGTTTTCACATGACGTCACTAAAATTCAAACTAAACAACTATCGATCCTACCGAGATTTTACTTTCACGATGCATTTTGAGCAGCTGAAAACTAATTTTCATACAAATTTTCGCTTCAAAAGGGTTCTTGGTCTTGTGATGGAGTACGCTTGAATTTCTGAGCTTTTGCGTGACGTGGCATTTACATGACGGCCAAGAGAGCTATCATGTAGGTTAAAAAAATGACTTATTTCGTGAAATTTTGCTATCTAAACAGTTCATGTATTAGAAAAAGAATTACTTTAATTAATGTTTATGAGTTTCTCGAAGAATAAATTTACCCTTTTGTAGCAAAACTCGGTAACAGATGTTTACGTTGGTTCCGTCCGCCATGTTGGAGCTCATCCAGGTGAGCACCAGCATGGCGTCTCCATACAAATCTCTATAAGTTTGGGTAAAACATTTCTTCTGATATCTCGTATATGAAATATTCTTCTGAGCTGAATCTTGGCGAGGGTCTTTGTATATGTACCTCCTTTTATTTCCCAGATTCTGGACTTTATCTATTGAACGGTTTTGATTTTTATTTTGATCTATTCTGAATGGCCTGACACTGAAAACCAGCCATACAGGAAACAGTTCCAATGTCTACAAACTGAGTCTTAAACTAAAAGGAAAACTGGGCTATTATTTTTGGAATTTAACTGATCAGCTGATCAGGTCTTTATAGATCCTACGTTCTTTGGCATATTCGTTTGCGGTCCCTTGCAGTTCTTTGTCGTTAATGTTTGTAATATTAAGACCGGTATTAATGTTTGTATGTAAGAGCCTAGTTAACTGTTTAATCACCTGTCGGCCACGCTTCGTTTGTCGCCAGTTTTGCCACACATAATGTTCACGTCCTTTTCCAATAAACCCATACTTCCCCCGAAGGTAGCTTCAATGCCTCGTATGAGATTCTTTTTGGCCTGCCGCTGAGCAGTAGGATCGCGGGCACAGCTGCCCTTAAGGCTCTGCCAGCGTTCTCCCTTACGCGGAAAATCAGAATTATCGTCACCTGCCGTGAATAGAAGAATGTAAAACTGAGATCAATGACTTTGCTCCACGTAAAGGAATCTAAGAAGTTTTGGATTCTGGACTCCAAACCGTGGATTCCGGATTCCAGGTAATGGAGTCCGGGTCCTTTTTCAGTAGAACTTCGATTCCGGATTCCAATCGTTAGTGGGTTTCCGGATTCCTTAAGATTATTCTTGATTCCAAAGCCCAAATTAAGGTGCCGGATTTCACAAGCAAAACTTGCCCGAAACCAAAAATTTCCCGGATTCCGGAACCCGGCCCATTCTGCTAACACACCTGAACAATCAGGCCAAGGTAACATTCTCGATACAGTTGGGCGAAAGTCCCAGACGTTCCAGCGTCCTGTTTGAGGCTGACAGATGTACAAGTTGGCCGGGATTCTTCTGAAGTCCTTGTTGTCATTACACTGAGGCGTACATACAGTCCCATCTAAAGACGCCAGCGGCGCGCACGCAAGAAGACCGTTAAACGGTGGAGGGTAAGATGGACATCCCAAACCTAAACTTTGATAGAACATACTCATTCATTTGTCGTCCATGGTGTTATTTTTAAATAATAGTTAAGGACCTTGAGAATATAAATTAGATATACAGATGGTATATATATATAATCCTTGTGGTTTGAGTACAAGACTAAAGCTGATCGTACTACGTGAAAATCAATTTTGCAAGACATCAACACGACACCAATAGAACTCAAAAGAGAGCAGCTGTCTACGGCTACCTACCCGCTCAGGGTTCTATCGGCGTCGTGTTGATGTCTTGCAAAATTAATTTTCACGTAGTACGATCAGCTTTGCAGAACTTCAACGTGTCTACTTAAACAGTATTTTTTTCTTTGCTGATCGGGTCTTTTTGAGAGCCTAATACGTTCTGCGGGTCGTTTGCAGTTAATGTAGTTGTATCCGGTTTCTTGTAACCGACCTGACACTGTAATAGTGAAGGTACAAACTGCTGTGTTTCCGGCTTGGTCTCTTGCTTCGTATTTGATGAAATGTTGACCCAATCTAAACCCTGATCCTTGTACAGACTCTGTAAACAGAGTCACAGGTTTCTCTGAGTTATCTTCGTAATGTGGCATGGGCCAGTGAACGGACACAACTGGACCAGCGGTATTCTTTATAACTTTTATGTTCTTGGGGCACGTGATCCTTGGGGGCTCAGTATCTGTGAAATGTAAGACAATGGAGGTGAAAAGAAGCAACAAAAACACTTAAGTGAAGTATAACTAATGACAACGTATGTAATCTACTTTAATATAAGTAGTTCTTAAAGGTTGTCAAAGTTTATTTAACGGGACCTCGTCCCTAGATGATTCTGTGTTCTCTCGACGGCATTCTCTGGGAAATATCAATAGATCATTAAAAGTCAATTCTCGCAGCTAGGGACCATTTAAGTCTTGAGTTGAGGCCAAGATTTCCGGGCGTCATCTGCGATTTTTCTGAAAAAAAAAACGGACCAAAGACCAGTCGAAAGTCAATGAATCTAAAACCCTTTCGGGTCGGGCAATCACATTATAACAACGTAGCTTGACTCTCCTATTGGGCAGCAACTTTGGCGTTGCACCGCTTTATTTAATGGCAAGTCACTTTTATGTCCCTAAGTCAGCACTCCAGGTCCTCTAGCAAATCTTTTTTTCGTGATTAATCCCCTCCGCACTTCACGTCCCTGCAGCAGGAGCCTATCAGATTCTCACCTATAATTGTAACGGTGAACACACACGATTGTGAATTGCCACTGTCGTCAGTAGCAGTATATACTATACGAGTAACGCCAATGGGGAACTGGTGCGGTGACACGATATTCTTCGGGAAACTCAAAACCGTTGGAAACCTGTCCTGGTTGTCTGTGGCCAACGGTTGCCTCCACTCCACCCTTCTTGTCGCTTTCCCAGGCTCTGCACTGTTAGTGAAGTCATATGGGCATCTTATGCTAGGAGGCTGGTTGTCTTTGAAAAAACAGAAACTATGAGATATTCAATTCAATTCTTTAGTTTCACACTATATAAAATATTTACACAAGTGTACATAGGTAGGAAAATAAAGTAGCTGATAAATAATAATTAACTAAAAGACATTAAGTTCACTTATGTACAGTGTCCAAAGTAGCAAGAGCTTTCTTGTTGGACACCGTCATGTTCAGATAATCGGCAATAGTAAAGAGAGGAAATAAAATCTCAAATAATATAAGTGATAGAACATATAAGCAAGGTCAGATTTGGTTGGTTAGAAGATAGGACTTCCATTCTTTCTTAAACTTATGATATGGCAGACACTTGAGACCAGGCAGTACAGTCTCCCAGATTTTTGGAGCGGAGAATTTAAAGAACGTCTTGCCTCGTTTTGATAAAGAGTTTTAGTTGGTGCTCTGTTAATGAGGACAATACGTTTTTGAAGTAAATAAATTCCTTCTAGAATTGTGACATAAGTAGAAGCCCATGTTAAATTGTATAATGTGAGGTAAGGGGCAAATTAACGCATAATACAATGAAAGGGGATTCAGACAAAAACGAACTTGATAGTCCACTAAACTTGGCAATCATTTTACAAGCAACGTTCTTTCCATGTGAGATGTTGGGCAATGTAAATCCCTAGAAACTTTGTAGGCTCTAGCTACTAGTTCCACAATATTGTTATCTGCATACAGCTAGAAGAGGTTATTTGAGGAAAGATTTTTTGCCTACGTCCGAAGATTATTGTGTTAGTTTACTGACATTGATTGATAATTTGTTAGCTCTTAGCCAAGCTGACACATTTTTAATTTTTAGGTTCATGGATTAATTGGTTGATTAAAATGTTTGGGTACTCATGTTCCAGGAATAAGCTTGCATCATCAGCCAGTAGAATGCTACTGAGGGCATCTGAACAAGTTGGTAAATCAACTTACATAATGAAAAACAGTGGACCAAGTTTAGACCCTTGTAGTACCCACCAGTTCTGATAATCTTCTATTGAGAGAAATTTATAATTAATATATATTTATTTTTTGAGATGCTCACACCTTGGTCTTCCTGGTGTATATACACAGTCGACTCTTGCTTGGTCGCCGTAACTAAAAGGAAATTAATGAAAAGACGCGATTAACAACCTGAAGAAGACCGGAACTTGTGATCATTACTATAGTACTATATAGCCAGTACAATAGGACCTATAGCTCGGCAAGATAGAAGCTCCAGTGCGGCAAAAAAGCCATCTTTGTTCGCAGTCCGTCCTTACTGGTGTGTCGACTGCCTGTGGTCAGTTGCCAAGTTTGTTTTAAAGGTTTCTAGCATCAATGTGTGTGTGTTTCAGAAGACGATACCTTTTTCCAGGACATATATAACCAATAAGGCAGCGATAATTGAATAAAGCCTGCTCATTTTTACCTGAAAGAAAAAGAAAACTCATCTTGATTAAATAATAAGTAACTAAGAGATTATTATTAATATTGACTTATTTAAGTTTTCTAGATATGTCCTTGTAGCAAATCATTCTTAAAGAGGGGAGGACAAATTTATTTCAGCGTCTGTGAGGGTAAGGTGCAGTGTGGTGTGTGGTGGAGAGAAAATTGTAAAACCAAGTTTAANCAGTTCTGATAATCTTCTATTGAGAGAAATTTATAATTAATATATATTTATTTTTTGAGATGCTCACACCTTGGTCTTCCTGGTGTATATACACAGTCGACTCTTGCTTGGTCGCCGTAACTAAAAGGAAATTAATGAAAAGACGCGATTAACAACCTGAAGAAGACCGGAACTTGTGATCATTACTATAGTACTATATAGCCAGTACAATAGGACCTATAGCTCGGCAAGATAGAAGCTCCAGTGCGGCAAAAAAGCCATCTTTGTTCGCATTCCGTCCTTACTGGTGTGTCGACTGCCTGTGGTCAGTTGCCAAGTTTGTTTTAAAGGTTTCTAGCATCAATGTGTGTGTGTTTCAGAAGACGATACCTTTTTCCAGGACATATATAACCAATAAGGCAGCGATAATTGAATAAAGCCTGCTCATTTTTACCTGAAAGAAAAAGAAAACTCATCTTGATTAAATAATAAGTAACTAAGAGATTATTATTAATATTGACTTATTTAAGTTTTCTAGATATGTCCTTGTAGCAAATCATTCTTAAAGAGGGGAGGACAAATTTATTTCAGCGTCTGTGAGGGTAAGGTGCAGTGTGGTGTGTGGTGGAGAGAAAATTGTAAAACCAAGTTTAAGTTTTTAACTGACGGCAAGCTCTCCGGACTTTACTGGATGTACTAATTTCATACGTACCAAGTAAAGATGCATTCCCTTGAGAAAGCTATTTCCTAATATGTAACTAAGAAAATTTACCATTTGCTTTGGCATTTTTTAAAAAAGAAAATTGAGTTTCTTTTCAGTGACATGTTTTGTGATTTATTTACCGAAAGGTTCAGTACCTCTAACAGCGCAATTTTAACCGAGTACAGGTCAGCATTTGGATAGCTTATATATTAATAATACTGCAAAGGCCAACATTACTACGTAATAGTACATTGCCCAGATACTCACAAAATGTTTTCGCTTTCTTCGCTAAACTCCTGAATTTCTTTCCTGCTTAAGCCAAGCTTTAGCGAAAAATACAATATGAATTAACTTAACGTAACAATTTTCTCTCTTAAATAGTTCTGACTACAAACACAAACCAAACAAGTTAAAACGCACAAACAAGCCATTAGAACGTAAGATAGAATTGCACTGGAAAATATCCTTGGTATAATGCAGGATTTTACTTGCATCAGTAAAGAAGTAATAACATGGAAAAGCCGATTAAGGTGGTATATTCTAAAATGTGAGCCCTTCGACTGAACATTTTAGGATCGTAAGGGCTTATTTTTTCCAAGCTTGGTTAAAAAATTAATTTAGTGTTTTTTGTTTGCATTCAGTAAAGGAAGGAAATTTTGTTATCTTTGGGCGATATCTTCTAAATGCAGGATGTTTTCGGTGAAACGTGAACTCGAGGAGGTTGGGATAAATTCCGAGAACAGCAAAAGAACCATGTATAATTTATTGTAAAATAAAGGGCAAGCTTTCTTTTGAAACACTGTGTTTGTTTGTTTTTTTTTTTTATCTACGGCACTTTAAATAAGTTACAATACTTTGCTTGGGTTGAAATTTCGGGATCAAAAAGAAAAACAACTCGCATACTCAACCGGATTGCATATCAAGCCTTAGAAGTGACAACAAAGGCGAACATAATAAGTTATGGCTCTAATATCTTCGCGATGTGTAAACTTATTATTTCCCTCTTCGTTACGCCTTAAGAAAACAAAAACTTGGGATTGAAAAGTTGCTTCTTGCTTTTAGCTGAAGTAAAAATTATGATTATACGGAGAGATTAGGTGTGGAAAAATTATGGAAAAGTTGCTTCTTACTTTCTAGCTAAAGAAGATTTTATATAAAAGAAGTTCATGTTTCGCGGTTCTCTGCAAAATTGCTCATCCCCCTTTCGCTAATATTCAGATCTTCTTCTTCATACCTTCAGCCTCATTCAGGGAACATACTCCTTGCCTTGAAAAATGTTTTTTTTTTTGTGATCCCGTTTTCATTAGCTTTCACAAGCATTTCAGGCATTTTATCAACTGAATGTATTGAGCTTCTGTGAATTGCAGCTCAATTTATTGGTGTCTTCATTTCGAACGTAGTTCACATTTCATGGGTCACGTAGAGGGGTAATCTCATCACTACATCAACTAATGTACCTTCGTTGTTTTCTTTTGTATTTCTGTTTCTTGTTTTAGTCGACGTTTTTAAGGACTTAAATTTTTTTAAAACCGCCCGTAAAAAAAATGTAGACAAAAAATTCATCAATGCCCATTCCTAAATCATCCAAGTCTCCTCAAGACTGTATGATACGTTTATGTGATCACGGGAAGTCTAAAACAGAAGACCTGGCAACCGGGAGAGAACAAGTGAAGAAAAAAACATCTCAACCTAAATTTTTATCGTAACTATCTTTTCACTCATTCAAATTATCTTCGCAAGGTTAAACATCGTCAAAGCCTAACAAAACGAAAACAGTTTTCGGCCATCTAATTATCAGACACCAAAAAGCATAGGGCTATAAATTACTAGGGGGTGACTGCGAAGTACACAATTCCTAAACAACACAGCTCAGTTATAATTAAACAACCATTATTTAATTTTTTTTCTCTTACAAAAACAGAAACAATTGAGCAAATACAATTTATTATGCCATGCTTCGGATGTAAATAAGAGTACGTATCATATTTTGCTTTGTTTTTCTGATTTGTTTTTAAAAATATACATATTTTAACTTCTCCCTCTAAGAGCTCCTTCACTCTTCGCATAACACACACCACTCTTATGAAAAATATTAACTTACCACCCCCGCCCCTCGTCTTATTCTTAAAGAACCCATGGGTGTAGATTGTGTTCCTAAAGCATAAAAGAGCCACATCTAAGGATATACTTCAAGTTACGTATGGTGTTTACAACAACAGCAACAACAACAACAACCGAACAAACAAACATAGATTAAGTCGCAAAAAGCAGAAAAATATAACAGTCATTTAAAGGGATTAAAATATGCCTTCCAAATGCCCTCGTGCAAATGGCACGAAGAGGCACTCCCATAACTTCCTGCCATGATCATTGTCAGTAGCCTAATTATACCACTGAGAAAAAAAGACTAAATTGTATTCATATTAAGACAGAGAAGTAACAAATTTAGCTTAAAAAGACCGTCTTAATTTGTAACCAAATTGCCTTTTAAATAGACGTCGTGTGGCCTCTAATTTTATTCAAGCTGTTTTTAATTAAATATTGTTAAAAGTTTACTTCCAAAATAGAAACGTAATGACATGTCCCAGTTCGCCCCTGATAAGGCATGATTTTCTCTTTATCATCGAAGGATCTAAACACTTAGAGGACCGTCAGTTTTGAAGTGGCGTTTAAGGCATAAAGGCATATCAAATGGTTTGGCCAAATAAATAAATTTAACGCTTAAATTGCCTCTGTTACCCTCATATCACTTTTTCTTGTTTACGAAGTCCTTTCTGAAAATGGACCTTACAAAACAGGAAGCAATGGCTATATTTCCAAAAAATACTACAAATGTTGGAAGAACTGTCTCTACGCTAGTTATTCCGACCAACGACTTTGCCAAAAGTTCATTCTTTTGATCCTGGCGACTTTCCAGGGCTACCTCCAGTATCTTAAAGGCGTATTCGGTTGAGAGGGCAGAGAAAACGTGTAAAAAATGATGGCTGTTTCCTATTATATCGAATTTCCCAGGCAGTAAGCGTTCTGGAAGTCGAGATCCATAGATAACGCCGGCCAGAATGGAACAAAAACAGTGTCGTCGAAAGTACGTTATGAGTAGATCGTTACAGGCGATAAAGGACTGGAATGACGTGTTGGCGTTACAGGTGCAAAGTGTCACGCCAACTATCAGCGATAACACAGTGTTCAACCATCCGGCAAATACAGGAATCACTCGAATCAAAGCAGCGTACGTCTTATTTCCTTTGAAAGCAATTTTACTCAAGCAACAGGAGAATGTTGCCGTGAACGACAGAAAAACACCGATACTTGTGTATAATAAAGCAGATTCGAAGATTCTCCACCCTGTGTTTATTGGTCGATTGTAGTAATACATCACTTGTCCTGACGTGTATGTGTAAATACTGATCCCAGCGTAATCGAGAAAATACAAAGCGCTGTGTATCTCTTCCGATTTGGAGTTAAATGTATGTGCTATGGAGCTCATCGCGTATACTGTCCAGCTTCCGATAGCGGACGACAACATGGGATAGAAGAAGTAACGTCGTGGTGAACTCGCTTGCTTTAATAAAAGTAGAACCGATGTATAACGAACCACAAAGTAGATCAGGGTCACGAGATGGCTCCAGATATTGAAGGTCTCGTTATTGATGTGAAAGAGGCTCTGCAAGCTTTGCCAGGTTGTTATGAAAGGCTTTCTATATCCTGTTTTAATGTATGGTTCACGAAAACCGAGCGGTACTTCGTCCATGTTGTACAGCATATTTTTCCCACCTTCGCTTTCTTCACGCTGAACTTTGAAGTTTCTGACGTTGTTGTTTCGATGGCTTGTTCGTACATCAAGAGTAGAGCTGCCTGACCGTAGTTTCATCTTTAGAAATGTAAGAATGAACACGTATAAAACAACACAACGACTTGAGGCGGTACTCAGCGGTAGAAACTACTGGGCACAAATGGCCAAATGGCCATTCGAGTGTAAAATAATGAATTGTTCATTTGTTCGATCGACGTGTTACGTAAATGGCCTTTAACAGAAGTTATATATTAAGAAGTTGAACTATGCCCTTCACAAAGTTCAACTCTCGAAATTTGGTTCAAGTTCCTGAAAAGCGCACATTTTCTCTAGCTTCGCTTGTTTCGAACCAAGGTTTCGATCAAAATATAAACCTTTAATCAATACTCTAGGGAGTACCGTAATTTGAATAAATATGCAAACATCTTTAAAATGCCGTCAAAATTTACAAGTAGGAAGTGGGAATTTGGAAGTCAGTCAGAGAGAGTTATGACCAAACCTTGCATTTATTCATCTTGCTAATAGTTTCATTTGTTATTTCCTTTTGTTTTCAAGACGAACTTGGGCTCAATTTAACTTGTCGATGAGGAATTTATGCCATTTTATACTCTCTACATGTAAAATCTAAAAAATCCAGCAAGTTAAGGGAGAATTACCAGCACTAAATTTAATACTCCGTGGTAACATTCTTAGTACGGTATTGCTATGCTTTCTCAATATTCTGAGATGTTATTTTAAAAGCTTGATCAGAGAACCATAAACATATGTTAATGAGGAAAATGTAAATGAATATTCGCCTGCATACTTAACTTAACAGAACGCAAGAAAAGGCCATTGCAAAAGGAATCAACTATTTGCAACCTCAAAGAACGAATAAGGCCCCGTCGTCTACAGCTATTTCGAGAAAGGTTGTCGGAAAAAAGTGCACGCGACGATCCCGAAAGGTATTGTTCTTTGGTTGGTTTGAAGGAGTTCACTGTTCTCAAAGAAATTTGAAAGTTAATGTACGAGAGGCCATGGACGTATGTTTGCGAGTGCTAATTACAGCCGAAGCAACACCTGAAGCAACAAAGGTGGGCTTAACAACTACAGTGTCAGGAGCAGTGTATTGATCATATCCTATAATACCCTTTTCGGGATTGTGGCGTACACATTTTTTTGCGACACCCTGCCTCGAAATAGCTGTAGGAGAAAACCTGGTCATCCTCCCCTCCCAGCCGAGTCAACTTAAACGAGCCTCTATGTGACAAAAAATTGACCCCTTTGTCCCAGCTAACAGCACTCGCGCATGCTCTGATTGTGTCTAATACAGCGAATGTCTCAGGTGTCAAAAACGCGGGTTCGGGATTAATCTTTATTTTAAAGAATGCAGTTAAGGGTTAGGGTTAGAGTTAGGATGAAAACTAACCCAAACCTAGCCCTAACGCTAACCCTAACCTCAACTCTAAAACAGCATTCTTAAAACTGAAAAAATACCCCGACCTCTTAGCCAAGTTACTCCGGCTGAGTGAGCGGCCAAAGTGTTTATATGCAAACGTTTGCCTGGCTAGAAGGGGGATCGTATCCTCTGCAAGTGTCTTGAAAGAGCGTCTTGAAGCAAGATGGCCGGCCTGTACTGTTATACTAAGCGCGCGAACGCGTAAAGTTCTTACGCAATAAGATAGTGCACCGTAAACACGAGCTAAGGTGGACGGGGGTGGGTGGGCAGGGTAGGGTAGGTACAATATTTAAAGACTGGAGGCCCATCAAGTATAACATAAGTGGTCTAAAGCCAGGATATTACAAACTACAGCTTCGTGAAAATCGGTGGTTGAAAATATGGCTCAGTTAATGCATTAACCTTCTGTCTAGTTAGCTACAAAAACAAGCCCAACAGATCTTTTTATTTTTAATTAATAAAATGAAACTGAATTATTTTAATGAAGATGTAAAATTCAAATAAGTGACAAATTAGGCGGAGGGGTATAGGTAGTCTCATCACCTTCATCTAGCTCACAAATATTAAAAAGTATATAGTATATATTGTGCCGCACTTTTCATTCAAAGCTTTTGCGCAGTCAACTGTAAACGCTCGCATGTCAATTGCGGGTTGCTCGACCTTATCAGAACTGGTTATTTGTTTTGTGTTGTAAATATTTATGAACGTTGATGAGCAATGTAGTCCCTAATTTGCGTGAAACTGTTAAACACGTAACCATGCAGTCGGCCTGCCGAGGTTCTTTGGTCAGCTATAAGCACTAGAGTGTATGGGTCGGGTACTACTTACTATTCTTACTGGGTAAGTTGGACTGGTTTCTTGGTTTATTGAAAATACATAACTACGTACGAAAATGAATTATATTCCCAACTCAGCATTACGTTGAATGCAAATTTTGCTTTGTTTTGAATCACAGAAGACAAAATGTGCTGAATATTCTACGTTCGCAGTTTATAACCTTCGCTTTTCGGTGCTGTCATGCACTACAAATTAGTAAAGCCTTACGGCCTGGGTTCAGTTAGGGTTCTTTTGATGTTGTGAAAATATTTATTATGGGCATTTATATCGCTGAGCAGTTATCCAACCGAGAAAAAAATATACGAGTACACTGTAGCCTAGTATTAATTTTTTTAAACGACGTAAAAACAATCATTAGCTTATGGCAAAGTATTACTCGTCATGATGAGACAGACGCGGCGTTAATCGTCCAGTTAGTTATCAATGCCTACATGTAAGTAAAATTAAAC